GGAAATCTTTTAGTGACTTGGTGGGACACTACTTCCGTAGGATTCGTCAATTTTATAACACTGGCATGAAGTAAAGCACCTTGTGTTTTGAATTACTGTGGAAGCTTTCCACTATTAAAGAACCTAGTTTTACGATGACTGCCGCCATCATTTCCACAAACCCACTTTCCAAATCCAGCGTATGTTGAGGGCGTCGCATAATGCAACACTGCCTAGCAGAAGAGCCTTTCGTCTCTGTTTTCTAACCAAATGTTATATTTACTATCATACTTCGTATGCATTAATGCTTACTATCAAAGGTTTGTCTTCTAATTCTGTACAACTAGCTACAGTCGTGGCAGAATCAAAACTGCTGATAATTGGTCTTGCCCTTGCAACTCCACAGGCGGCCGTGATCTGCCTAGTGCCACACCTAGGTAAGTTCTTGTCGCAAAGAAGAATAATAACAAAAAGTGTATTCAGTGTTGATTGGAGTCATTGAAGACCACTGTCTGCAAAATCAATATGGCAGATGTCGGTTTGCTTCACTCATCTCGAATATAAAGAACTCCTTGTCTGTCTTTCAAAATCGCCTCAACCCCTTACCAGCCTGTCAAAGTCAGCAATTAGTAAGGCAAACTAAATAAAACTAAATTAGACAAAAGATTGTTCATTCTTGGCAATTTCCGAGTTGCGACATTAATTTCAATAGAATCTGCATTTACATAGAGTTAAGAGATCTGTTGACAACTTTGTAAAACACGACTGTTACTTATCTGCGTGCATTTTATTAATTAATTCTTCTATATGGTAGGAATCATTTGCGTGATTGCCGCACCCACAAAGACTGATACGTTGACTGAATACATTTACTGACGACTGAGAATTTCTGTACCCAGAGGAAGCATTTAGAAGTAGCACTTAATGCATTAATGCACATGCACAAGTATTGCACTAATGAAATCTAATTCAAGCAATTTCGATTGCCACTTACCAATATCCATGTCAACAAATTTAGAGCCACGAAGTTATTTCTTGCATGTGAGTTAGGTCTACGTATTTGGTTGTATAGGTATATTTAAACACATTTTGCAAAGCAAATTTAAATGTTGCAATAGTCAACAAAATTTTCTTAGTTATAAAATAGATTTAAAATGTTATGAATTTTTTAAGTAGGCCTTAAATGATTCATAAGGAAGCAAAATATGAGAAAAAATGGACCTGCAACTTGGCTTAAGGATTCGATATTAACCCAAATATTTCACGTCAGTCAAATGGCAATGGTACAGTGACGTTTTACTTAGCGTCTTCTGCAGTTATAAAATGTGACATATAACCTGGCTAGCGCAATTACTTATTGAGACATGTCACTGGATGCCTGTTTACCTACCCCATTCTAAAACAATTAATATCGTTCAGCATTTATTTAAAATGACACAACACAACAGACAAACTTTTTTTATTGCGTAAAAAAGTCTTCATTTTGGCTTATGTGGTTGACTTTCGACGTAGGATTCCTTACAAGTAATCGTTGTAATACAATCGTGTCCATTTCTATCACTTAATTATATATTTGCAGTCTTAAAATATGCGACCGCTTCAAAATATTATATTCGATGCAGACATCGTATCAGAACCAGCACTAACAGCATGTGGTTAGAATGTAAACAGTCTGCGCGGACATCAAGGTAACGGAATGACAGTTTAATGCATTAAATCTTGCTACTGGCCTATTCCTTTTTTCTCGACGTTATCAAATAGACCACAGACAAGCTATAAAAAATTTATGCTCACAATGCAATTCGTTTCAGTTACAACAGTTCATGCTCTTTATATGCTTGTTTGACTCTACGATAACTGAAAAGTTAATTTAAAAATACCTGGATGATCACGAAATAGTTTCGCGAAAAAGCCTAATACTGTGCCCACATTAATGCACTTATTAGAGATTGCTGAGTAAAGGACGGCACTCTGCAGTTTGTGCATATAAATGTGGTACAAACTGGCAGTATTCATTCAAAGAGGCATCACTACGCACTTGTTAAAAATCTTTTAGATTAGGATAGTATATAATGTCTAGATGTGTTTGTTACTGATCGTGGCACTTTTTGAATTCATATAAACCAATATTTGGTATTTCCTTCTCTTCTAACTTCAGCATAATTTAGGAACTAATTATTAAGGAATTCCATTTTTCGTTGTAAAGCCTGCATGCGCATATATACCAAATCTTTGAGATATTAACCAATTGTGTTTTTTAATTGTTGTTCTGCCATGTAAATTCTTAAACATGGTAGATTTAACCATTCTCAACTAACAGAGAGTAGAGTGATGTTCAACAGCTAATGAAGCCGATTTTGAAGGCATGTCAACTATCTAGTGGTCGACAATTGCCTGCCTTCAGGGGTCACTTGACTGCATCGACTAAGTTTAAAGTATCCAATCGATTATTCTTGGCAAAATAGACGTTAAGAAGCATGTCTGCAGGCTGGTTGTGCTATACGTGCAATTTGTCTGCACACATAACATTATCAGCTTTAGGAAAGACGTCGACGAAAAGTCTAAGAAATTAATTCAAGCATTCAAATCTTGACTGTGACAAGCAAACGTCATGATTTAGGAACATGATTTTGCACTGCATAGTCATGGCTGTCATACAAATCCCAGCACCTATCTTAAAATGTGATAGCTCTGAATTTGTAAGGCAATAACTTTGGTCGCGTCAATATATCTATCTGCATTTCAGTGACTCCTAACAAATCTCGACTAGCGCTGTACGACTTATAGCCTCCAGCCTAAAGAGGACTTTGAAGAGCATTAACTTGAAGCATCTGTGCCATTTAGCAATCAGTTCTTTTAAATTGCACTTTCTATATCGTGTCTTCTAACAATCGCCAACTCAATTCTTTTTAGACGTCATGTAGGATTCGCTGTCATGATGACTCTCGGAACACAGTTGTCACAACAGATTCTAAGGCCGAAACGTTAAAACAATGTCGTTGTTTTCACGCATTTGAAAATGCATGTTATGTCTTCATCTCTAATGCGGTAACGTAACTTATTTTCAGCAGTATGTCTACTTTTCGAGTTAGTCGACTTTTTTATTGCAGATGCAGCACGTGCAAATCAACACTAACATCCTCCAGGAAAATTTGTGCATTTATAAATATTGACCGTTTGGACAGCGTGTTAACAGGTTAACAGCTAGAATAACAATCACTTTAATTGCAAAGAGCATTAGTAGAAAGTGTCTGCCACACAGCTCCGTCGGGACGTGCTCACAAAGGTATCTCGTCAGCTGCTGCCCACGTTATAAACGTTAGGGTTTTAGTTGAACGTCTACTCTTATCTCCTCATCTCCTACTCTAACAAACGAAAATTTCAGGATTAATATGTTCCCATTTAGCCTTAAGACAAAGTGGCGACACATATTTGGTGGTTTTTTAGAAGCAATCAAATAATTTTTGTAAGTTAATGTGCGGGCTATTGAAGAATAGCGGCTGCATTCAAAATCAATATTGACCTGTCTGTTTGCACATATTTACAAAGTTAGTATTACAAGACCAAATTTATTCGTGTACGCGGATTTTGCTCCAATTTTGACTCTTCGTGACCTACATGTTCTCATTTTGCCGTAGAAAATAACGCGTCTACGTGCTACTGATGTCTGTAATATAATGCATATGATTGTTTTGTTAATGAGTGCAGGCTAATGCTTAATTGATTATTACTAACCTGTTATTTTGTGCGATTAATATTGGAATTACTAATGCATTAATATTATCAAACTAAACAAGATAAAGAGACCACCTTAAATCAATCGTCATTCATCGCACAGTTTAGTGAACGCTAAATTTGTAAAATATACGCACAAATATTCACATAGTTAGGACATAGGTAAAACCACAAGACGACGGGATATTTCAAAATAAGTCTATTTGGACCTGCCACAACGCGTGTCTGGAATGGGAAAATATCTCTTTGTGAATAGTTGGTTAATGCTTTTGAGTTGACGTATGGCAGACAGTGTATTGTGTGAAATAAAAAAGAAAGAATTGTTCCAGCTTTGCTAAACGT